AAGGCAATAAAAGCCCAAAAAATCTTTAAAAAAAAAAAAAATACTCTTCGCTCTGTGTAATGTCACATACTTATACATATTCACCAAACATTTGAATCTGATGGCAGTAGGTGGTTTCTTTGGTCACCATCAATTTGTGTTGCAGTTTTCATATTGATTATTATTTTCTTGATGAATCGTTTAACCAGTTAAATGTCAGGAAGTAGAGAAAAACGCCCTGTGTAATTTCCCAAAGCCCAAAGTGACCTCTTCAGATGTGTTTTGTCCAGCGAACAGTCCAAAAACTTAGATACATTGATGACAAAGAAAAGCATCAAATTATCACATTTGTAAAGCTGGAACAGAAAATTTTTTGGTATTTCTGCTTTGATGAGCAAAATAGTTGAATAATTTTTTTGTGGATCAACTAATCGATTAATCGTTGCTGCTCAAATCTGATCAAAGCAGTGTCAGTGCAACTACACTGCTGGAAGCCACTAAATGCTACACACTGGACCTGTAAATTCTCCAGAAATGATGGTAAATTCTGGATTAAATTCTTCAGAAATTATACCTAAAGATGTTTTTTCCCTTTGATATTTGGTTATTTAATTTATTTGATTTAATATCTGTGTTATGGAGAAGTCATTAAGCCTTGTAATGTCAGGGGCTTTACACTGCAATGGCAGTAGGCAGTAGAGAATTAGGTAGAAGAGGTCTTTCCCGACAGGAAACAACAGTTGGGCTCCTAAAATGCGACAGATTTTGAAATCACTGTTGTCCTGGAAGTCCAGTTTTCCTGGAGGGAGGCAGGGTGACGGTGACCCAGGCAGGGAGGCAGAGCCGAACAGGCTGGCTGGAGGAAGATAAACAGGCTGCTCTGTATTGTTCTCCTGGTATCACTGAGAAACTGTCAGCCTGACTGATTGAAGGCTCAACCTCCCAAAATAGGCCCTGCGAGGCCGAGCTGCCTTTCCCTTCCATCCTGTTATAAATAACCCCTCTGTGTGTGTGTGTGTGTGTGTGTGTGCCCTGTGTTCATGCATTTTATGTTTGTGTGTGTGTTTTAGAGTAGGGGCAAGAAAGAAAGAGAGTGTGTGTGTGTGAGCAGAGAGAAATGTGATCGCTCCTGAGGCAGCCTTAGAAAGTAAAGCCACTGAAAACAATAACAGGAGGTCTGTGGGGCTGAGAGCCAAACAGTGACAGGGACCCAGCGGTCAAGACCCTCCACTAACCTCTCAATACACACACACACACACTAAAGATACACCCACACCACATCTCTCTCCAATATTCAGACTACATGATTTCAACTCATCTGTGCATGTGTCCATGCCTTTGTGTGTTTTAAGTTGGTAATGTTTGGATAGGGGCTTGTAAATTATCACCTGAGGGAATATCACTGGATCATTTGGGCTGTTTACTTTGTTCAACAGGTGTGCCGGGGGCAGATGTTTTTCATGCAAATATATGACAGCAGTGCAGCACTAGCACTCACACACACATAAAAACACAGTTCTGTGCAGCTGGGTGGGGACTCATTTGCTTGTTTACAGTGCTGAGCGACAATCAAACAAAAAAGAATTCTTTCTTTTAAATGTAAAACAGCGG